TATAACCGAAAAGCTCACCTTCCCAGGCTGCCCTCGCGCTTCCTCCCCGTAATGTATGTACTTTGGTAGGAAGAGTAGAGACATAGATTATTTTCTAAATAGGGAAAGGCTTCGGAAATCTGAAGCGCAAGTGGACTTGGGAATCCTAGTTCATGATTCTCAAGGTTAACAAGCACGTTCAGTCGGCAGTTAGGAAGGCAAATACAATATTAGCATTCATTTCAAGACGGCTAGAATACAAGAACAGAAATATACAGGTGAGGCTGTATAAGGGTCTGGTCAGACTACATTAGAAATACTGTGAGCAGTTTTGGGCCTTGTATCTAAGAAAGGAGGTATTGGCTTTGAGGGGATTCAGAGGAAGTTTACAAAAATGATCCCGGGGCTGAAGGGCTTGTCACATGAGGAGCAATTGAGGACTCGGGGTCTTTATTAAATGGAGTTTAGAAGGATGAGGGGAATCTGATTGAAACTTACACTGAGAGGCCTGGATAGAAAGAATGTCAAAAAGATGTTTCCACAAGGAGGAGAGACTAGGGCATAGCCTCAGTAAAAGGACAACTTTTTAGAACTGAGATGAGGACGAATTTCTTCAGAGGCTGGTTTATCTGTGGAACTCATTACCACAGAGGGCTGTGGAGGCCAAATCATTGAGTGTACTTAAGACTGAGGTTAGGTAGGTTCTCGACGAATAAGGAGATCAAAGATTATGAGAAGAAAGCAGGAGAATGGCATTGAAAACCATGCTTGCCATGATCAAACACGGAGCAGACCCGATAGGCTGAATGGCCTAATTCTGTTTTTATGTCTTGTGGTCTTGCAGCACATGAGCCGAGGCGGGGGAGAGACAGGTGATGGAATGAAGGTAGAACAGAGTAGTCTTGCTAATAGAGAAGTTCAGGACTCCATAGCTCAACTTAACATCAAATATGACACCAGTATTTTTGAGCAGTCTGCACCAACCTGAGACAGTGATCAGGGAATGGAATGGAGTGTGCATGAGTTGGGGGAAAGAGGAAATAAGAGAGAAAAGCAGCAGGGGACACAAGTGGTCATTGTGTGCGAGCAGGAAAAGGAGTCATTGCAAGTGACTCCCTGCCCACAAATTGCATGATTGCATCTGGTTCAATGACTGTGGAGAGGTGTTGGAGGACAATGATGTAGTGGATCATATCAAAGGCTACAGGCAGGTTGAGAAGGGAAAGTCAACTTTAGCACAATCACGTAGCTGTTATTAAAATCACAAATGTTATCCCGTTTTGGTATGAAATGAGTGGAATGTTCATTGATGGGTTTCAGACATGGAGTTCTAAGAAATGTAGCCACAGATTTGAATGTGATGTTGTGTGTGAAATGGTGGACCTATTTTTTTCCCCAGGGATGGACATACAAGGAGGTAGGGAGCAAGAAAGGAAGGGGGTGAGCAATACAGGCGTCATTTATCACTGACATACTGGAAGTTTAGAGGCCACATGAGATTGAACTGTAGATTGATACAACAAAGAGGCACACCATTCAGGCCATTAGGCCTGTACTGGCTCTTCGAAAAAAGTTATCCAGTTGGTTGCGCTTTCCCTCAGGCTATAGTTTTCAAGTACTTTTCCAATTCCCTTTTGAAAATTATTATTGAATCTGCTCCACTGTTCTTCCAGCACTTTCCAAGTCATAACAATTTGTATTAAAAAACGATCTCCCCCTCATAAGAAGGTTGAGTCTTGCTGTGAATGTTGGTAAGGAGCTTATATGAGGCAAGAGGAGTAGAATAATCTTGAATTAGGAAGCTAAGAGGTGAGCTGAGGTTATCAATGAATGAAGTAAGACTGTTGTAGTGCAGTATATTTTGTACATTACATTAGTTTTATTGGTTATGGCTATGGGATGCTTTACGTTCGTCAGTAGCTGTCGCAGGGTGGTTGTTGGTTTGTGGGCTACTCTGATACCTAGGGGACTGAGTAGTGTAACTACCTGGGTCAAAAGGTCCAGGTTCAAGTCCTATCTGCTTCAGAGGTATGTCATATCATACCTGAACAGGTTAATTAAAAGTATCTGGATAAAGAGTGCTATTGTGGGGACAAAGTGGTAGTTGTACAAAATGAATTTGAAGATAGAAGGGGTCAGAGCAGGTTGAGATTTGGTGATAAGAGTTAAATCGCCGCCACAACCGTCTGGGTGGGCAGATGGTGAAAAGTATCATTGTGTTTCAGTAGGGGTAAGATATTCCCATCTGTCAGTGTACTTTCTGTCAAAGCTGCTATATCAATGCGATCAGCTACAATAAGAGGTATGAAAGACCATTCTATCTGTGAAGAATTGTGGTAAAGCGTGCATGGCTCAGTAGTGATGGCTCAGTGTTAATTTTGATCCTGTGCTAACTTATCTGTATTAACTAATGACTGTGTAATTATTCTAGAAAATGACATGCTATTGACTGATCCCCTGAAACACCCAGACTTCTTTCATGTCAGTGAACTCTTCTCTCTGAAAGACCTCTTCGATGCCAGGGTGCACTTTGGTCACAAAAGAGGTTGTCGGAACAGGTAGGTGATCAACCTGCTGATATTGACGGTGAAGTCCTTTTGAAACTGCTCAAGCAGGTGCTTCTGTAGATTGGGGGGTTGGAAGAGAAAAGAGGAGTGTAATTATATCACTTTAGTCTCATAGAAAGGCTATTCCACTGAAGGGGGCAATTCCACAGAGTGTTCCTGCTGGTTTGTTCACAACAGTAAATCCATCTGTCCCACAACTCTGCCTTTTCCCTAAAAATATCTTCTCTATTCAGATAACTACCCAATTTCTGGAAGTATTCTCATAAATCTTTTCTTCACCTGCTGCAGTGTCTTCACGTTCTTTATGATATGTGGTGCCCAGAGTGACACAGTTTAAAGTTTTTGAGAAGATTTGTAGCTCAGGTTGTGGATGAGGTTGTAGACTTGCTCGCCGAGCCGGTGGGTTTGGTTGCAGACGTTTCGTCACCCTGCTAGGTAACATCGTCAGTGCGCCTTTGGTGAAGCGTTGGTATTCTGTCCCACTTGTTATTTACATAGCCCGGTTTGCTGAGTTGGTTGGCATTACTTCCAGTTCTGTTTTTCAGTGGTTTGTATTATCGGGTCCAGTTCAATGTGTTTGTTGGTGGCGTTCCGGTTGGAATGCCAGGCCTCCTGGAATTCCCTTGAGGTGGCTTAGTGGTTAGCACTGCTGCCTCACAGCGCCAGTAACCCAGGTAGGTTCTTTACTCAGAGAGTGGTAGGGGCGTGGAATGCATTGCCAGAGAGGGTAGTGGAGTCGGCCTCATTGAGGGCATTTAAGCGGCTATTAGATAGGCAAATGGATAATAGTATAAGATAGGGGTGGAGGTTAGATAGACCTTAGGTTTAGAGTAAAAGTTCGGCACAAGATCGTGGGCCGAAGGGCCTGTACCGTGCTGTACAGTTCTATGTTCAATCCCATCCTCGGGCAACTGCCTGTGTGGAATTTACACATTCTCCCCATGTCTGCGTGGGTTTCCTCTGGGTGCTCCGGTTTCGTCCCTCAATCCAAAGATGTGCAGGCTAGGTGGATTGGCCATGCTAAATTGTCGATAGTGTTCAGGGATGTATAGATTAGGTGGGTTGCAGAGGGATGGGTCTGGGTGGGATGCTCTGAAGGTTGGTGTGGACTGGTTGGGCTGAAGGGCCTGTTTCCACACTGTAGGGATTCTATGATCTATGTCTCTGTTTGGCTTGTACTATTATGGATGTGTTGTCCCAGTCGAATTTGTGTCCTTCTTTGTCCATGTATATTGAGACCAGAGAGAATTAGTCATGTCTCTTGGTGGCTAGTTGGTGTTCGTGTATCTTTATTGTCAGTTTTCCTCCAGTTTGGCCTATGTAATGTTTTTCACAGTCCTTGCATAGTATTTTGTACAGTACGTTAGTTTTATTGGTTATGGCTATGGGATGCTTTACGTTCGTCAGTAGCTGTCGCAGGGTGGTTGTTGATTTGTGGGCTACTCTGATATCTAGGGGTCTGAGTAGTCTCGTGATCATCTCTGGTATGTCTCTGATGTACGGTAGGGTGACTAGTGCGTCTGGCGTGTTGTGTCTTCTTGTTGCGGTCTATTACGGAGGTATCCTTTGCAAGCCAGATCGGGAGTCCCGCATGGTGTGTTGCCTGCCCGGTGCCAGGGTGCAAGACATCTCTGACCGGCTTGAAAGGATATTGGAGCGGGAGGGGGAGGATCCAGTTGTTGTGGTCCACGTTGGGACTAACAACATAGGCAAGGCTAGGATGGAGGACCTGTTTGGGGATTATCAAGCACTAGGAACGAAATTAAGGAACAGGTCCTCGAGGGTCATAATCTCCGGATTACTGCCCGAGCCACATGCAAATTGGCTTAGGGATAAGAAAATTAGGGAAGTAAACACGTGGCTAAGGGAGTGGTGTGGGAAAGAGGGGTTCCATTTCATGGGGCATTGGCATCAGTTTTGGAACCGGAGGGATCTGTACCGATGGGACGGTCTCCACCTGAACCGATCTGGAACCAGTGTTCTTGCGAAAAGGATGAATAGGGTGGTCACTAGGACTTTAAACTAGTGAGTTGGGGGGGAAGGGAAAGGGAAAACGACAGGGAGTATGATGGTAAATGAAAAGGTAAGCAGCAGGTTAGCATGTGTGCAGGAGGGTTTAAGTTCAAGGCAGACTATGAAAGAAGCAAAAAGGAAGGATAACTCAGGAGATATTATTAGAGATGTTGGAAATCATGAGGGTAAGAAAGCTAGCATAAAGGCACTTGACCTGAATGCTCGTAGCATTCGTAACAAGGTTGATGAGTTAACGGCACAAATCATCGCGAATGAATATGATTTGGTAGGCATTACGGAGACATGGTTACAGGATGGTCACGACTGGGAGTTAAATATCCAAGGGTACCGGACTATTCGGAAGGATAGACAGGAAGGTAAGGGAGGTGGTGTAGCTCTGATATTCAAGGACGCCATCAGGGCGGTGCTAAGAGATGATATAGGTTCTATGGAGAATGAGGTTGAATCCATTTGGGTGGAAGTTAGAAATTCTAAGAGGAAAAGGTCACTGATAGGCGTAGTCTATAGGCCACCAAATAATAACATCACATTGGGGTGGGCAATAAACAAAGAAATAACTAATGCCTGTAAAAATGGTACGGCAATTATCATGGGGGATTTTAACCTACATGTAGATTGGTCGAACCAGCTTGGTCAGGGTAGCCTTGAGGAGGAGTTCGTTGAGTGTATCCGTGATAGTTTTCTTGAACAGTATGTAATGGAACCAACGCGGGAGCAAGCTATCCTTGACCTGGTCCTGTGTAATGAGACAGGAATAATTAATGACCTCATAGTTAGGGATACTCTTGGAAGGAGTGATCACAGTATGGTTGAATTTAGAATACAGATGGAGAGTGTGAAGATAAAATCCAATACAAGGGTCCTGTGCTTGAACAAGGAGAACTACAATAGAATGAGGGAGGACTTGGCTAAAGTAAACTGGAAACAAAGATTTTATGGTGGGACAGTTGACGAGCAGTGGAGGACTTTCAAAGCAATCTTTCAAAGTGCTCAGCAAAAGTATATTCCAATGAAAAGGCAGAACTGTAAGAAAAGGGGTAATCTGCCATGGGTGTCTAAAGAAATAAGGGAGGCTATCAAATTGAAAAAGAAGGCATACAGAGTGGCCAAAAACAGCATGAAACTAAAAGATTGGGAAAACTTTAAACGTCAACAGAAAGCCACAAAAAGAGCTATAAGGAAAAGTAAGATAGAACATGAGAAAAAACTAGCACAGAATATAAAGACAGATAGGAAAAGTTTCTATAAATATATAAAACGAAAAAGAGTGGCTAAAGTAAACGTTGGCCCTTTAGAGCATGAGAAGGGGAATTTAGTTATGGGATATGATGAAATGGCCGAGGCATTGAACAGGTATTTTGTATCAGTCTCCACAGTGGAGGACACTAATAACATGCCAGTAATTGACAAAGAGACAAAGGTAGGTGAGGACCTGGAAACAATCATAATTACAGAAGAGGTAGTGTTGGGCAAGCTAATGGAGCTAAGGATTGATAAGTCTCCTGGCCCTGATGGAATGCATCCCAGGGTACTAAAAGAGATGGCGGGAGAAATAGCAGGTGCACTGGCGGTAATTTTCCAAAATTCGCTAGACTCTGGGGCAGTCCCAGCAGATTGGAAAACAGCAAATGTGACGCCACTGTTTAAAAAGGGAAGTAGACAAAAGATGGGGAATTATAGACCAGTTAGCTTAACCTCTGTAGTGGGGAAGATGCTTGAGTCTATTATCAAGGGAGAAATAGCAAGGCATCTTGATAGAAATTGTCCCGTTGGGCAGACGCAGCATGGGTTCATGAAGGGCTGGTCATGCTTGACAAATCTTTTGGAATTCTATGAAGACATTACGAGCGAGGTGGACAATGGGGACCCAGTGGATGTGGTGTACCGAGACTTCCAAAAGGCCTTCGACAAGGTGCCGCACAAGAGGCTACTGCATAAGATAAGGATGCATGGCATTAAGGGTAAAGTATTAGCATGGATAGAGGATTGGTTGACTAACAGGAAGCAAAGAGTGGGGATAAATGAGTGCTATTCTAGCTGGCAGTCAGTGATTAGTGGTGTGCCTTAGGGATCGGTGTTGGCACTGCAATTATTTACAATTTATATAGATGATTTGGAGTTGGGGACCACGTGTAGGGTGTCAAAGTTTGCAGATGACACTAAGATGAGTGGCAAAGCAAAGTGTGCAGAGGACTGTGAAACTTTGCAGGGGAACCTAGATACATTGAGTGAGTGGGCAAAGGTCTGGCAGATGGAATACAATGTAAATAAATGTGAAGTCATACATTTTGGTAGGAGTAATAGTAAAAAGGATTATTACTTGAATGGTAAAAAGTTGCAGCATGCTGCCATGCAGAGGGACCTGGGTGTCCTTGTGCATGAATCACAGAAGGTAGGTCTGCAGGTACAACAAGTAATTAGGAAGGCAAATGGAATTTTGTCCTTCATTGCTAAAGGGATTGAAATTAAAAGCAGAGAGGTTATGTTGCAGCTGTACAAGGTGCTGGTGAGGCCACACCTGGAGTACTGTGTGCAGTTTTGGTCTCCTTACTTGAGAAAGGATGTACTGGCACTGAAGGGCGTGCAAAGGAGGTTCACTAGGTTGATTCCGGAGTTGAGGGGGTTGGCTTATGAGGAGAGACTGAGTAGATTGGGATTATATTCATTGGAATTCAGAAGATTGAAGGGGGGATCTTATAGAAACATATAAAATTATGAAGGGAATAGATAAGATAGAAGTAGAGAGGATGTTTCCACCGGCAGGTGAAGCTAGGACAAGAGGGCATAGCCTCAAGATTAGAGGGAGCAGATTTAGGACTGAACTGAGAAGGAATTTCTTCACCCAGAGGGTTGTTAATCTATGGAATTCCTTGCCCAGTGAAGTAGTTGACGCTACTTCAGTAAATGCTTTTTTAAAAAAAAAAGGTAGTTTTTGAACAATAAAGGAATTAAGGGATACGGTGAGAATGCGGGTAAGTGGATCTGAGTCCACAAAAGGATCAGCCATGATCTTATTGAATGGCGGAGCAGGCTCGAAGGGCCAGACGGCCTACTCCTCCTCCTAGTTCTTATGTTCTTATGTTCTAATGGTGGATTGTGCTTTTTGGGTATCTATTCCTTTTAAAAACTCCATATAATTTCCCCTGTTCAGGCATGGAACGGATACCCAAAAAGCACAATCTGTCGTTACCTCCGTAACAGACCGCAACAAGAAGACACAATACGCCAGACGCACTAGTCACCCTACCGTACATCAGAGACATTCCAGAGATGATCATGAGACTACTCAGACCCCTCGGTATCAGAGTAGCCCACAAACCAACAACCACCCTGCGACAGCTACTGACGAATGTAAAGCATCCCATAGCCATAACCAATAAAACTAACGTAATGTACAAAATACTATGGAAGGACTGTGAAAAACATTACATAGGCCAAACTGGAGGAAAACTGACAATAAGATACACAAACACCAACTAGCCACCAAGAGACACGACTAATTCTCACTGGTCTGAATACACCCGGACAAAGAAGGACACGAATTTGACTGGGACAACACATCCACAATAACGCAAACCAAATAAAGACATGCCATGGAATTCCTGGAGGCCTGGCATTCCAACTGAAACTCCATCAACAAACACATTGAATTGGCCCTGATATACAAACCACTGAAAAACAGAACTGGAAGTAATACCAACCACCCCAGCAAACCGGGGCATATAAATAACAGAGATAACAAGGTGTGGAGGTGGATGAACACAGCAGGCCAAGCAGCATCAGAGGAGCAGGAAAGCTGATGTTTCGGGCCTAGACCCTTCTTTAGAAAAAGGCCCAAAACGTCAGCTTTCCTGCTCCTCTGATGCTGCTTGGCCTGCTGTGTTCATCTAGCCCTACACCTTGTTATCTGAGATTCTCCAGCATCTGCAGTTCCAACTATCTCATATAAATAGCAAGTGGGACAGAACACCAACGCTTCACCAAAGGCGCACTGATGTTACCTAGCAGGGTGAGCGAAACATTTGCAATCAAACACACCGGCTCAGCAAGCAAGTCTACAACCTCAGTGACACAGTACTGCAGTTGAGGTCCAAGCAATATTTTCTAAATGTTCAAAATCACCTTGCTTTTCCATATTCTGTGCCTCTATTTATAAAGCTTAGGATTCATCATTAACCACTTTCACTGAAAACTTCAGGTATCTCAGCTCATGCATTGCCTTTAGAATTCTACTTATTTTTTGCATCTCTTTGTTATTCTTAACCAAAATGTATCAGTTCACACTTCCTTCGATTTAAATTTCATCTGCCATATGCCCATCTGTTCAGCCAGTCTGCCTGTGTCCTCTTGAAGTCTGTCACTGTCCTCAGAGTTCCAAGCTTTGTCTCATTTGCAGGGTTTGAAATTGTGCCATGCACACCCAAGTCTAGATCATGAACATAGAACTGGAGGAACCCCATACCTTCCTCCAGTCTGAAAAGCAATAATTCACCACTACTCTGATTCCTGCGATTCAAAGGACTTCACCTTTGCTGATGACTGTGTTATGGTGCACTTTACCAAATGCTTTTTGTGAGTCCCTAAGCACCCAACACCGATTGCATTACCCTCATCAACCTTCTCTGGTATTCCAGCAAAAACTCAACCAAGTTAAACACAATTTATTCATAACTAATCTGTGCTTAACAGTTAATCAATCTTTAATTAATCTAGATTTGTACAAGTAGCCATAAATTTTGACTGGGATTCTCATGACTAAAACCTTTCCTGTCACCAAGGTTAAACTGAATGGCCTGTAATTGCTGGGTTTATCCAAACATTCTTTTTTGAACAAGTACGTAACATTGTTTGAACAGGAAAAAGAAATTGTGGTGTAAGGGGAAAAGATGGAGTGGAACTAGGTGAATTGCCCTTGCAGAGAGCTGGCACAGACACAGTGAACCAAATGGCTGCCTACTGCATTGAAAATACTCTGTTGTATAATTTCTGGCCTCAGGCACCACCCTTTTTTTTTGTCTGGTTCAGTCTAATTACAGAGTTTCACTGTCTATGATTCGACAGTTTCCAGTCACAACTGATTGAGGGAAATTGCTCGGTGAGGTAAAAGGAATGAGGATAATGGCATGAATGTTAATTATTATTTATGGGAATTCTTTCACTTCCATTAGGCTGATGGAGCCATATCTCTTTGGTTGCCGATTGGGCCAGGACATCATTGATTTGGATCAGTCTATTCTTTACCTTCAACAAGCTCTAAACTTCACCGCCCATTGTGCCTATCGGAAAGGGATCATCCTGTTTGTGAGTCGCATGCGTCAGTTTGCTCACCTGATAGAGGAAACCGCAAAGGAGTGCGGGGAGTATGCACACACCAGATACTGGCAGGGTGGCTTGCTGACCAATGCACATGTCCAGTATGGAACTGGTGTTCGCCTGCCTGATCTCATCATCTTTCTCAGTACTTTGAATAATGTATTTGAGCAGCACGTTGCAGTGCGAGATGCTGCCAAGATGAATATTCCAACAGTGGGAATAGTAGACAGTAACTGTAATCCCAGTCTCATTACTTACCCCATTCCGGGAAATGATGACTCTCCTTCGGCAATTAATCTCTACTGTAAACTTTTTAAAATGACCATTCTTCGAGCAAAAGACAAGAGACGTCAAATGGACCTACTGTATGGAATTCAGAAAAAATGACCAAATAAAGTTGTTAATATACAAAACAATTGCTATCATCAAGCACAGCGATTTGTAACTCAGATTATGTCCATCGTTGAAAAATGGAAAAAGTGTGTTAAATTAGTCCGCTCATAGCACTTGATGTCTTTTGAATGCTGCTACAGACCAGGGAGGATAAATGATGGGAAGGAAGGAGTTCCTGCGTGTGAAACGATTGGAAATATTTTGAGATAGAAGTAGAAAAAAATGTTTTTATTTGTATTTGTGGCTTCTAGTTTTATGTTCCCTACAGTGAAAACAAAGTGCTAGAGAAACTCAGCAGGTCTGGTAGCAACTGTGGAGAGAGAAAAAGTTAGAGGTTTCAGTCTGATATGATTTCTTAGGAACTGAAAGGAACTGGAAAATGGTGATTTTCTTTTAATGCTAAGGTGGGGAGATGAGCGAGTGGGACAGATTAAGGGGCTCACTAGAGCAAAAGGGAAAGGCAGTGATAATAGTGAGATAGAGATGTAAAATAGGTGTAAATGCTGGCAGTATGGTGGAGAAAATGAGGAAAGGCAGGTTCCTACATCTAATGGAATTGAAAGCATGAAAGGTGTAGGAGGTGAGTGGTCATTTCATTGAAGACTGGCTTCTCATGATAACCAATGAAGATGATAGCAAGGGGGTTAACCTGTAGGAGACCCCATAGCAATGCTATTTATTTGGACACATGGTGTCATTGAAAATGAATTCAACTGTATAAGTTGCTCTGTTTGTGAATTTGGTAAACAGTTTCAGACACCAGTGGTTTAGCTACATTATATGACCAATGCCAGAGGAGTGCACTGTCGCTGTAGCCCTCTTGCACCACGGGTTACAAGATAAAATACCTTTTCCAGTTAACCAAGATAGATAACTAATTACATTATCCAAATCCGGCTTTCAACACCAGGTGTCTCAATAAAAATTGGTTTATTACCAAAACAAAACTTACTCAATTAAGATGCAGTAATTGGTTAACATAGACAGTCAGTAATAAGGAAGGTAAATGCTTATCCTTCTATCCTCAAAACACACCGGTGTGTACAAATCTCTCTCTCTCCCCCTATCCCTCTCTCTCTCTCTCTCTCTCTCTCTCCCTCCCTCTGTCTCTGTCTTGCTGAAACACCACAATCACATTCACACACTCTCGTTCATACAAACACATTCTCTCACATTCAAATGCACTTTCACATAAACAAACTATCAGACAAATACATACGCATGAACAGACAGACACTCGACAACAAACCCCGTCACTTTCAAAAGCACACTCTCACACTCAGTCACACGTATGTGCAAAAAAAGCATGCACAAGTGCACACCCACATACATGCACAAATACAATCGGTCATGATTCATTGGGGTAGCGTGCTGGAAAATCAATCTGCTATTCCTAGAGTCATCACAACAGTTAAAGATTTTGAAATAATTGTACAATATTCTCCAATTATACCTAGTTTTCAGACCCAGGTTGATAGGAAGCACAGAGCAGGCCTCTACTTAACAGGAATTACTATTTATTACAACTAAGTAGACTATAGCTACACATAAACAATTATAAAATGTCGACATATAATTGTGCAGTTCAAAACTCTAATTCCCCCTTAAACTCTCCCTATACACAGAAGGCAGAAGTAGATCGTTGATGGAGGAATATACAGAGAAGGGAGTTTGGTTACTGATATAATCCTCATGATTCTTATGCTGGTCAGAATATTGTTTTCCAGTCATCTTTCTCCAGATGCCTCCACTGGTTTGTAAGAAACACAAGATGGCTAATTCATTGATAAAAGGTTTCTGACTTATCAGTTAAAAGACACAGCTTACAAAAGTTGATGAAATAAAGATGAATTGGTTTGTTTTGGGTTTAAAATGGGTTTTGACTACAGAGAACAGATGGACAGCTCTTGTGCTGTCTTGTTTCCAGTCCTAAATGGCACAGTTGTCTGAGAACCAATCACACAGTTGTTGGGTGGCAAAAGTGTTTTGTGATTCGTCTATGGACTCGTGACCAGTTATCAATCAACTTCTTGTTGATGCCCAAATGCATCTGTATGCAGAACACTTTGGCTTCTGTTTGCCTGCAACCATTTCAAATACAGCTTGTTCAAACAACTGGACAAACACCATACCCACCTTACTTGGGGAGGATGCACCAGTGCCAGGCAGTGTACTCGGCCGTGTTCTCTGCTAGAATCAACTGGGCCAAATGTTCAGGACTCCTGATCAGTCTAAGTCTGGTGAATTCCTTGCTGGAGGAGTTACAGGGATTTAAATGGAGCATCACCCATCTCCTCTCTCTGGGGGGTCTACCTTAGCCCAACTGAGGAATCCTGGCTGGTGAATTAGCAGGAGCTGGGGGCCAAAGCCTTGGTTCACCAAGGCCGCTGCTCCATAGTGCTATCTTACAGGAGCCGAGTGCTGTTCAGAAACCAGTTGGTGGCTTCTGTGCTGTGGTTCTGACTGGTCCCTTTGACCCCCTCCTCCTGGTTTCATCACAAAAATCTAGAGGACGTTGGTTCATTTTGGGAGCAAAAAGATGCATTGTTTTACAGAAAAGGTTCAGAATCTCCCCATTGAGGGGGGTGGTCTGCCACTGATGTGTCTCTGTACCCAGGTGGCAACTTTCCACCTTTGGACCCTGCGGCGATTCCTTTGCGTCAAGCCTCCTCCCAGGTGCTGTGCCTGGCGACGTATTTTTTTCTGCCAGTTGTGTGACCCGCACTGGACCTTCACCATCAGGAGTAGGGCTATCATCAGAGAGCCCTTGCTCAGGAATCTGCATCTCCTCCATTGCGTGTTTGAGTGACTGGCAGAGGAGAGGGCCGTGGCCATGGGGGTGTCCAAAGTCAGGAATGTTAGGTGACAGGGACTGGGCTGAATGTTGCCTCAGGAATTGGTAAACTGGGTGGTGTTGGATGTCCAGCTCATAGCCAATGCCATCTGTCACCTGAAGATGGTGGTGTTCAGACCTGACATTGTGCACCAGTTGGAGGATGCTCATGTGTGGTGGAAATGCGTCTGTGTGTGACCCTGCTCAGATGGAATTTCACATCGGCTCCGGATCCTGAACCTCCCTCAAGAGCCTGCGTCCCACAAGCTGAGCTGTGTCATGGGAAAATTGGTGGGTCCTTCCACCTGGCACGGAGGTGGTTTTTGTATAGGCTGCTGCTGCACACCATCTACTTCAACTCCTTCATCTGTTTCCAGACACCCCTTGGTGTGGTTATTTACTGCCCAGGGATCCCCAGTGGAATACTGTCTACATAGGAGTCCTCCAATTTTCATCAGGGACCTGAAGTGGAGGGTGTTGAATGCAGCAGCCCCACAAGACCACAGATTGCGGTGAATGACGGACTCCCAGCCTAGCTTTTTATTTCATGGTGCTGTGGGGTCCATGGACCATGTATATATTGGTTGTGGTAATTGCACCCCCTTTGTTAGTCATTTAAAAAACTCATTTGTTGTGCTTTTAGTTACAGTTCAGCCCAATGATCCTGATCTTTGGGCATCTAGTGCAGAAGAGTATGGGCAAGACAGAGGACCTCCTCATGGGTTCGCTCCTACTAGCTATAAACAGGTCTAGGCACTGGTCTGTGGAAGGTTCATTACTGCCGATTGTCTGCCTCTCTTCTACAGCTACGTTCAAGCCCAGATGTCCTTTGAAAGGGAGCATATGGCATCCATCAATATTCCTGATGCCTTTAGAGAGAAGTGGGCACCATAGGTGGTAGAGTGCTTTATCTCTCCTTCCAACTCCCATTTTGATTTCGCCCCCTACTCTTTTAACTATCTTTCTCTTTGTTGGTTTGCACTGCCCTGAATGGGCTTTGCACAAAGATTATTCAATTAAAAACAGGTGATTTACTGCTGGTGATTAATAGAAGAAGAAAAACAGTTGATGGGGAATAAAAATGTTCAGTTTTGTATAAGAGCACTTCTGAGTATAAAATAAACGATAAGCAGACCCAGGGATGGGACTGTAGAACTGTCTGTCCCAGGCTGGAACTAGCCTATGTACTTTATGGGAAGTGGCTATGTTTTGGTGTTTTAACAATCAACAATGTTACCTTCTGGCCTGGTTTCTACAACTCCCTGTAATTTCTTTGCACATGTGTACCTCTACATCTTTGCTACTAGTTGACTGCAGTCTGTACACTACACCAAGCAATGTATACAGTCATCGAGTCATTCAGTACAGAACAGGCTCTATGGCCCTTCAAGACTGTACCACCTAAAATATACTACTATCTACACTGGTCCCACTTTCCAACACTTGGCTGATAGCCTTGAATGTTATAACGTTTTAAGTGCTCATCCAAGTTCTTGTTAAAGTTTGTGAGGTTACCCACCTCACCTGTCCTTCCAGGCAGTGCATTCCAGACACCCACCAGCCATCTGGGTGAATAAATCTTTCCTCAAATCCCCTCTAAACCTCCAGCCTTTCACGTTAAAAGTGTGCCCCCTTCTTCTTGACCCTTCCACTAAAGGATGCAGCTACTTTCTATTCACCCTGTCCATGCCCCTCATAATTCTATACACACTATCAGGTCCCTTGTCAAACTTCTCTGCTCCAAAGAAAACAAACCGAGTCTAGCCAGCATCTCTCTATAGTTAAACTGCTCCATCCCAAGCAATATCAAGGTGAACGTCCTCTGCACCCTGTCCAGTGCAATCACATTCTTCCTCTAGTGCAGAGACCAGAACTGCACGCAGTGCTCCAGTTGTGGCCTAACTAAAGTTCTGTACAGCTTCAGTGTAACCTCCTTGCTGTTACAATCTATGCCATGATTGATAAAATCCCATATGCCTTCTTAACTACCCTATTAACCTGTCCTGTCACATTCAGGGATCTGTGGACAAGCACCCAAGATCCCTGTGTTTCTCAGTCCTATTTAGTATCCTGCCACTCATTGCGTACTTGTTACCTTTTCCAAAGTACATCAACTCACATTTATCAGGGTTAAATACCATCTGTCACTGATCTGACCAATTTGTTTATATCTTCTTATAATTGAAG